TTGCCTCATCTGAATCATGAATGTGGTCACTTTTATTCACAGATTCACCTGAAATTCTTCACCTCCAAGGACCCTTTCCCATGTCTGTGCTCTCCATCTGCTGGGTAATTCTTCAGGCATCTCTGACAAAACCAGCATCCTTTGCTGATGACAGTGTTTTGTAGGCAGAGCTGTTTTCACAGAAGGCAGGCCATTCACTCAGTTATTTCAAAATACTGCAGTATTTTTGTCTCTGAATTCCTCTCACTCTCTGGCATGAGGACTGTTGTAAGGAAGGTATTTCTTTAATTCCGTTACCTGGAGCGCTACCACACATGGTCTAACCTGCCAGACTTTAATAACTTGCATTCCTACCATTTGTGGGAAGAATGGAGGGAATACCAGGAAACTAGGAAATACAGACTGGCAGCAAGCCCACAGACCTGCACTGAGGAAAAGCACAAACAGGTTCAGGGACACAAGAACACCACATTTGCTACTCTGGGGGAACTAAGGGAAAGGATCAGCATTTCCTATTTTGGAGAAATAAATCTTAAGCATGAGAAAATGTATGATTTAGGAGGTTTGGAGTGAATTGCCCTTTGCCATCATTTATACTATCCCAAAATTATTCACTGATTTCTCCCACTTTATCAGTCAGCCTTCACTTTTGGAGATGTAGTATTGTTCTCTCCCTATTTATTCCCCTCTTACATTTCAGCCACATACTCATCAAAAGTCTCCTAAAATTTACCTTTCCCATTAAGTTTTCCCAAGGTTCCCATAGTTCCATTCACACCTGACCAAATCTCCATTATAGAATGTCAGAATAACCTGTACAGTGACTTGACACTTAGCGCTCTGACCCAGAAGAGAGAATTAAAATCCCTTCTCATGTCCCAGTCTCTTGGGTGAGACTGTGGTGTGCACACACATGAGCCAGAGGAGAAGGGTCCTTGTCCTTATGCACAAACCTAGAGCCTCAGACACTCCCTTACTCTTGGCTATCTTGTGAGGATAGAGCCACAGCTATGGTGATCACAGCATTTGTCTGCTGCTCTCCTTCTGCTAAAAGGACTAACCTTGCCAGTCCCCACATTTTTCTACCTTTTATTTCCCCATTTACTGAAATTAGTCCTTAGAATGCTTAGAAATAGACATGAAAACATAGAACAAAATGAAAAAAGTAAGTAGTTCAAGCCTTTTCTCTGGAACATAAGTTGAAATGGGTTCAAGTGATTTTCATAAAAGATCAAAAATTGTTCTGTGTTCATCACAAATTGAAAACAGCTCATTATCCACTTTTTGCCACTCAAAATGTAATGAGTTCTGGGCACTATAAGCTTAATGCAGTCACACATTAACAGTTTGGACATTCTGGTAAAAGTGTCGTTACACAATTTACCTTGTGTAGTCATCACCTAGTATATTTCCACATAGTAAGATGGTATAGGTCAGTCATCCAGTGTAACATTGAGATGCCATATATATATATATATATATGTGTGTGTGTGTGTGTGTGTGTGTGTGTGTGTGTGTGTGTTTTCTGTCAGCTTGACACAAGCAAAGTTACCAGCGAGGAGGAACCTCAATTGGTAACATACCTGTATCAGAATACCTGTAGACATGTCTGTAGTGTATTTTCTTGATTAATAATTGATGTGGGTGGGCCCAGTACACAAGGGATGATCCTGGGTGGGTGTCCCTGGCCTGTAGAAGAAAACATGCTGAATAAATCATAGGGAGCAAGCCAGTAAGCAGTTTTCCTCCAAGGTTTTTGTTTCACTTACTGCCTCTGCATTCTTGCCTTGAGTTCTTGTCCTGACTTCTGTCAGTGATGGAGTGTGATATGGAAGTGTTAGCTGTTGTCAGTTGAGATATTTTATCATGGCAATAGAACTAAGACAATATAGTAAGCACAAGACAAGTGAGGTTCCTGTCAGAATAGAACAGCTTCACTGTACAGTTTTTGGTCAGTATAAGTCCACTCTAAATGGCTGATACAAATCTAGTGTTGTAAATACATAAAGCAATAGTATAGTAACTTATTTGCATTACTATAACATGAACTACAAAGGTGTATATATGGGGGGTGCTCTGGAGACAGACTCATGGATACAGGACAAGGTACATCTAGTTGAACAGTCTTTCTGTTTTGCTCAAGGGAGTTGGGGACCGACTACACACTGCTTCATGCCACCTGATCCACCCAAGAGAGCACAAGACTAAGGGGGCAAGGACCCTCCTCCTCAGCTTTTAACTTGTGACATAGGCAGACAATGACCACACCTTAGAGTTTGATGCCCCCAAAGTCATTGGCTAATGGATTGAATTTTTACAGCACATTACCAAGAATTATGTCCTTTATATGACATAATATAGCCTTTATATAGCTAGCAGTGTGTTAGGGTTGTTCACACCATAATCACTGCAATTATGGGAGTAATGAACCAGTAGGAACACAAGTTGAAAGCCAACTTAAGCAACTTAAAAAAAAGCATGTCTTGGGGGGGGGTGGACAACATACTGAGTAACAAATTATGATAACTACAATGTCCTTAGGCAACAGGAATTCTCATCTCCATTATGACCATCTTGGACCACAGGTGTATGTGTAAGCTGTCACTGACCAAAGCACTGGTGTGCACTACATGAGTACTTGATGCCTGAAGTTATCTCACAAGAACCCCATAAGGAAATATTATCATTCAGTTTTTACCAATAACTCATCTGTATGTCAGATAGATAAGATAGTTGACAACAGCCAACTAGTAAATACTAAAGGCAAGTTTTAAAACTGGACCTTCCAACTCTTTTGCTGGTGTGATGAAGTTCTACTGCCTCCATTGCCTAGACTTGGCAGGATGTAGATTCATCGTCTCTTTTATTTCCTCCTCTGTTATTTAGAACTCTATTCATTTGAGTAAGCTTTCATTTGAATATCATTACAGACACACAAGATGACACTTTATGAACCCAGTGGTTTGCCATATAATACCCTTATCCACTTCACAACTCACCTAACTTTACTTGAGTTTCTATTAGTATTCATTAGAATGCTTTTTGCTAAAAATAACAGGCAGCCAGCTCTCAAAGGCTTCAACCATGAGGACATTTTAATTGGACAAGATTCCAGAGACTAATAATGGTTGAAATGTTGGTGAGATTGAATTAGTTAAAGGAGTTTCGCTTCTCTGTCTATTTACTTGCTACTAAGCTGGCAGAGGTTGGTGAGGGTTAGGTGGGGATTGAAGGAGGTGGGTATGGGAGTAAAATAGATCAGGAAGACAAGTTTGTTATTCTTAATCTCTTTTTTTTTCTCAAGAAGATGTCTATGTTTAGTGTCAAAAGATGCCTCAACAAAAATCCTCTGTCAAAGGGCTGAAGAATAGCACACTCAATGCTTTTGTTATCTTGCTGGAAGCAAGGCAACTCCAAATAGCTTGCCCTGACCTCAACAGAGAAACTCCTTACTTCTCCAGTTGGAATATTTCATGTTCTATTTCCCATGGTATTTTGTTCACGGTCTCCATGCCCTGATTTAGAAACTGAATAAATACCGCCTAAAATCTAGGCTTAAAAAAAAGAAAAGAAAAGAACCAGCTTTTAAATAGTTATGCTCCATCAGTTTTCCTACATTAACCCTATCTTCCTGTGTGTCACCTCAGGGTCACAAACCGACCAGCACATCTCTACAGTATCATTCCAAGCAGGACAAAATACATGAGGGGAGAGTGTTTTTTCTCTGCATTTTTGTGAGAGTGGGAAAATCTTTTTCAGATTCTACCAAGAAAACTTTGTAATGACAGGTTACTGGTCAGAACCAAGTCATATGACCACCTAGCCGCAAAGGCTGCTGGGAAATGAAAACATAACTAAAAAGAGTTCTGTGGCTGATTTACACAGGGGCCAGATCAGTCCTCGGTGTAGAACACTTTGCCTCTCTGACTAAACTGTGGGCCTGGGGCAGAGCACTTTGCCTCTCTGACTAACTGTGGGCCTGGATACCGAGGAGGTAGAAAAGAATAGATTTCACTACACACTAGCGGTATCTGCTGTGAGAATGATCCATTCAGCATATTTAACAATTTTTTTTGTTTTGCCTAACCCATGCCTTGGGAGAGATACTTATGTGTTTATATAATCTTGAATTAAGCAAAGCACTGGATCCTGTCAAATGGTTTCTCTTGATCCAGCTTCACAAGGCAACCAAACTCTGTCCTTGTTTTTGTGTGTTTTGTTATTTCATTTCAAATCTCTAAGAGGTCTCAATTTTATTGCCCAATTTCATACTTCATTGTGAGTCATTCTGCTAGTTGCCACTATTAAAGGCTGTGCAATCAATTTCCTAGCACACATACACAAAAACCCAAGAAAGCCCAATTCCAGATGTCACCTCTTACACTGAGTTTTTAAGCCCAATGATTGATGGCTCTCATGCCAAGGCTGCAGGTGACAAGTCTGCCAGGTTTCCTGTGCTAGCAGATGATTGCCTAGTCCAAATCATCACCAGCCTGGCTGGCTAACACTCATTCTCCCAAGGGCCTATGTTTGAGATTTTCTTTTGACAGGTAGTTTGACCTTGAGACCTTTCTTTCCCTAGATAATCAATAGTTACCCTAAGTAAATTCTCAAATACTTCCATGATTTCTCTCCTCTTCTTTCATTGAAAGAACAAGTGATTCCCATCATCTCTGACTTTATCAAATCTTATTTTCCCTCTTTTTCACTATATTCCCAATACCTCTTGATTATTCCAGTATTTAATGTTATCTTTCTAATTGATAATTTCCCCTTATTCCAAATTCAAAATATACTGGCAGTAAATCATAAATAAAGAGCTAGTGGCCTTCTGTAGTAAACATGTTTTGGAGCAAGCATTAAATAGTCAAAGTATCATTTCATTTTTTGTCTGCACCTCTGTGCCAGGTAACTCACTATAACTGTGTTGTGAGTACAAAGAAGGAGGAGGGAGAAACCCTAAAAATATATAAAGAGTATAGCTTGATAAATACAAATTTGTGCTCGCTTCAAGAGCACATATACTAAAATTGGAACTATACAGAGATTAGCATGGCCCCTGTGCAAGGATGATAAATACAAATTTATCATATAACTAATGATTAATAATGTAAACTGTAATGGAAATAGGATTTGTGTCAGTAACCTCAGTATTATAGACTCTTAAAATTGCAGTAGGTTAATGTAGACATTCATCTCTCTCAATGCTGGTAATTCACTGGCTATATGATAAGGCGGCCAAATGGAGGCAAAGACATGGAGTCACTCAGCTTAGTGCCACTAGGCTCAGTCAACTGAAGCATGGAGTACCAGTTCTTCAATCAGAGTATGATGTACTTTAATACATATTTGCAATCGGTTACTTTGATAGCTGATTGATATAGGGGGATGGATGGTGACCATTGTTGCATCACAGATCACTTTAAAGATTTGTTTATGTTTATTTATATGTGTGAGTGCTTTATCATTATGTGTGTATGTGCACTACCTGCCTGCCTGGTGTCCATGGAGGCCAAAAAGGGGCATCGGATCCCCTGAAACTGGAGTTACGGATAAATGTAAGCCTTTATGTGGATGCTGGAGCTGAAACATCATTTTCTTCAAAAGCAGTGAGTGTTCTTAACTGTGAAGCTGTGGATCCAACTTCACACATCTCATTTTACATGTTTTTAAATATAATTTGACTCATGACATTCACCCTTCCAGTTCATAGGGTAAACAAAACTCCAAAAGGTGCCCGAGGAGAGGGAAAAAACATTTTATTCTTAATCTCCTAATGAGTACAAATCACAGAAATACATATGATACATAACATTTTCAGTAAGACTGTAGGATATAAATTCCATCCTGGGGGCTTTTAAGAAAATACAATTCAAAAACTCTCTGGATAGGGAAAAGTTCACACATTCCCACCATGAATGAAGAGCTACAAGTGATTAATTGATGTCAAAAGAGGGAAAATCAATTTCCTCCAGGGACAAGCTCCCACATAGGTTCAACCCAGGACACATTAACACACGAGCAATGAAAAATAGACTCAATAGGGTGCGTGTGCATGTGCGTGTGTGTGTGTGTGTGTGTGTGTAGTTAAGTTTCTGTTGTTATAATAAAGACCATGACCAAAAGGAGGAAAGGACTTATTCATCATACACCTCCAGGTGATGTATATTGATGAGGGAAGCCAAGACAAGAAATCAAGGCATGGACTAAAGACAGAAACTTCAGAGGAATGCTGCTTACTGACTTGCTCAGTTTGCTTTCTTGTGTGTCCAAGGACTGCCTGTCCAGAGATGGTACTTCTCCCTGTGGGCAGGGACTTCCCACATCAATAATTAATCAATAGACTAATTAATCAAAACAATATCCTGCAGGCTTGCTAATGGAGACATTTCTCAGCTGGGGTACCTTTTGTAAGATAACTCTAGCTAGTGTCATATTGACAAACAAAGGACAATATGTATAAACATATAGCAATAATAATTAAAGAAGAGACCATGAGTTTGGGAGAGAGAGGGAGGATATAGGAGGAGTTAGAGGATAAAGGGGCAGGAATGATATAGATGTGATGCACATGAATGACATTCTCAACAACACTTTTTTAAAGGTACCAGTAGAAGAGATACTGAGCAATGACTGAGACGCATTGTTCCAACATGACACAAAATTTCAGAACATAACTCAAGGATGAAAAAGAAATCATCTCTTTTACTTTTTCACAATCTATACATTACAATACACATAATTTCCAATTGGGCAATGGGCTGGTCATTCATTCCATCAACAATTATCTTTCAGTACATAATATATGTCAAACAGTAACCTGGTGGGTATTTGGGATAGGTGTTTGGAGTATAGATGATAAAAGTTGAAGCATCATCTTTGTGGATTTTTCCTTTGATGAGTATATAGTGTCCTTCCCTATCTCTTTTGATTAGCTTTTGTTTGAAATTACTGGATATTAAAATAGCTATACCAGCTTGCTTCTTAGGTCCTTTGGCTTGGAATATCTTTCCCCCACCTTTTTCCCTGAGGAAATACCTATCATTGATATTGCTGCAGCAGAAAGATTAATCCGGTTTCACATTCATTCTGTTAGTCTGTGCCTTTTTACTGGGAAAGTGAGACAACTGATATTGAGAGATACCAATGACCAATGATTGCTGATTCCTGTGATTTTGTTGTTGATGGTGGTGATGATAGTGGTGGTAGTGTTTGTACTTCCCTTCTTTTGATTTTGCTGCTGTGAGATTATTTCTTTTGCTTTTATGGGTATGGTTTACCTCCTTAGGTGAGTGTTTTCCTCTTAGCACCTTCTGTAGGGCTGGATTTGTAGATAGAATATCATAGAATATATCATTTTCTCTATCTATGGTAATTGAAAGTTTTCTGGGGTATAGAAATATGAGTCAGGATCTGTAGTCTCTTAGAATATACAGGATATCTGTCCAGGCCCTTCTAACATTTAGATTCTCCATTGAGAAGTCAGGTGTAGAAAACAAAAGCAAGAGCTTTTCTGTGAGGCATGGTAGTATTTATTATAAACCTCAGTACTTGGGAGAAAGAGGCATGCAGGTCTATGTGGTTCAAAGAAGCCTGCTCTAAAAGTGAGTTTCAGGGCAGTCAAGACACAGAGAAACTCTGTCTCAAAAAAAGAAAAGAAAGAAAGAGAAGTCAAGTGTAATTCTAATTGGTCTGCTTTTATATGTAATTTGGTCTTTTTCCTTTGCAGCTTTTAATATTCTTTCTTTGGTCTGTATATTTAATGTTTTGATTATGTATTGAGGGAACTTTCTTTTTCATACAATCTATTTGGTATTCTGTGTCTTTTTTGTAATTTTACAAGCATATCATCTTTTGGCCAGGAAAATTTTCTTTTGTAATTTTATTGAAAACATTTTTGAGGTCTTTAAGTTGGGACTCTCCTTCCTCTATTCCAAGTATTCTAAGGTTTGCTCTTTTCATAGTGATCCAGACTTCCTGAATGTATGTTTTACGATGTTTTTAGAATTAATGTTTTTCCATTTCTTCTATATCTTCATTGTCTGAAATTCTCTCTTCCATCTCTTACATTCTGTTGGTGAAGCTTATTTTTGTAATTCTTTTTCAGAATTCCCTCTGTCTGTATTTTCTTTATTGCTTCTATTTCCATTTCCAAGTCTTGAATAGTTTTATTCCTTTCTTCCAATTGATTGTTTTTTTCTTGGCTTTCTTTAAGGAATTTATCATTTCTTCCAATTTTTATGTTTTCCTGTATTTCTTTAATAGATTTATTAATTTCCCCTTTAAGTAACTCTGTCATCTCCATACACATGATTTTAAGATCTTTTTCTTGTGCTTCAGTTGTGTTGAAATATTCAGGGTCTGCTGTGGTAGGATAGCTGGGCTATAATGGAGATATATTGTTCCCTGGCTATTGTTAACTGTTTTTATGGTGTCTAGGTGTCTTCGTTTGGGGTGATTCTGGATCTACATACGGGTTTCTTGATTTGTCTTTGTTGGGTGGATGTTTTGTTCCTTAGTTACTGTTTGCTCTCTGGAATTTTAGAGTATGATGGTTGTCTATTGCCTCTTTCCTGGTCTGTTCATGGGTTAGCAGGTGGAGCCTGTTGGGGTTGTGTAGTATTTCCCTTTCTGCCTCAGCTGGTGTGTTCCCAGCTGGGTAATGAGATAGCTTGGGGAAAGGGAGGTTGGGGGAGATCTTTGTGAACCATTGAGGATAGGGCCAGAGAGGAAAGGGAGACAGAAACAATTTTACTGTTACACAGCTGGAATTGACTCTGGGGGATAGGATCTCAGGAAGGGAGGGAAAGATTTGGGTTCATCTCCAGTCTACTTGTTTCCCTGAGAGGCCAGTCCATGTGGTAGCAGAGGGTGACTGCTGGGGCTGGGAGCTGTAACATAGCAATGAGTCAGGAGAGGGAGATTCAAAGGAAAGGATAGGTGGGATCCACAGGAGATGGCAGCAGGGGCAGAACAGGGAAGGCTGTCATAGATGTTCTGCTGCAGAGTTGAATGAGACTATGCAATTGGATCTGGGGGAAGGAGGTGCAGAGAAAGAGCTGCAGGCAGCTTATCTAGTTTTCTGACAGGAATTCTAATATCTCTTTTAGGAAATATTTAATGGAACCCTAACAAGATATATCCAACTGACACTTACAATGGAACCTAGACTTGGTAAACTCTGAAGGTTGGAATTTCATGTATATGCTCTCAAAGCTCACTCACACACACACACACACAATCACAAATACAGAAAGGGAAGAAGAAGAGAAGGAGGAGGAAAATGAGGAAGAGGAGAACAAGAGGAAGGAAGGAACGAACAAAGGAAGGAGAAGAAGAGGAGGAGAAGTAGAGGAGGAGGAGGAACTGCAAGGACCACTGCCGGCCTTGATTCTGGAAGAAAGAAGAATTTCTTCTCTGATTCTCTGCTTCTAATCTGAACCTTTCTCATTTCCATGGGCTTGTAATTCTTGTTTTGCTTAGCACATAAAAAGGTAATGGTGGCTGTTTGGCAGAACCAAGTAAAACAGGCCCTGCATCCGGGCCTGTGTTCCAGTGCCTGGGGATTGTCTGGGAACTGCACAAAGCTTCCAATCCCGGTGGGAGCCAGACACCCCAGATTCCAGGTCTTCTCTACCACCAGGGAAACCAGGAAACAAGCAGATCCAGCAATGGGAACAGGGGACCAGGTGGGAGGCTAAGCACCCCAGATTCCGGGTCTCCTTCTCCACCCACGGGACCAGAAAGAGGACGAGAAATAGAAGAACTACCAGATTATTGGACTTGCTAGCACCCACCAAAAGGGAACTCTGGTCCCCTAACCACCAGACCAGCAAGGAGCTCTTTCTGCACCCACTAGAAGAAGAGATGGAAAAGATACAATACAAAAACACACTCAGCAACAGAAAAACAAATATGACACCACCAGATTCGAGAGACTCCACACCAGCAAAACTCCAACATTCCAATGCAAATGAAACAGAAGAGAATGACCTTAAAACCACCTTCATGAAAATGATAGAGGCCCTAAAAGAGGATATAGGAAAATCCCTCAAAGAAATGGAAGAAAAAATAAACCAAAAAATGCAAGAAATGGAAGAAAAA